CATTGCAACATCCCACAAAGAGCAGTGGGATCAATGACCAACTAATCTGATATGATGGTGCTGGATGAAGGAGGAATATTGGGTTAGACATGTTATCTTTAACAGCCAGACTAAGTGCACTGAGCAAAGAAGTTCAATATCTTCCCTGAAACATTGAGTACTGCATTAGAGTACTGGCCTAGATTCTATGCTCACAGTCCCAAATGGGCCCTTAACACATGGCATTATTAATCCAAGGTAGGTTTCCATGTTCCCTTCCTTTACCTGTTTATGTTTGTTGAATTGTTCCAGCAACAGTGGAAATATGCAGCTGTTGATCTTGGAACATGCTCTGTAGGAAGCACTCGCAGCTGCCTGGAGTAGCTTTGCACTCGGCCACACAAGTTTCATGTCTGGTTCGCACAGGTGATGCTTACAATCTGAGGCAAGGAGGCAACAGTAAACATTTCAGAAATGCTGTACAGTCATACAGCCATTCAGCACGGAAACAGACCCTTTGGTCCAACTCGTCCAAGCTTCCTAAACTAAACTTATCCCACTTGCCTACGCTGTGCAATGACTGGTGGCAATGTCAAAATGGGCCCCTGCATAATATGCAAGGAGGGGCAATGGCAGGTGCATTGAGTTGAGATATCAGTTGGTCTGCTGGTCCCACCTTGAAGTGAAGACCATTGTTCAAGAATGGTAGAACAAATCTAGTTATGCGCCATGCCAGCTGTGAGGAAAAACATGTACAAGGCAAAAATAAAGAAGGAAGTTAATCAAAGAATAAAGATATTCCTTTGCCCACATGTGCAAAACATTCAGAATGGAAACGTACTGCAGTTTACTGCAGTAAACGGCACAGTGATTACGGAGAGATCCCAAATTTTTAAAAAGCTTTTAAATAGCAACAAATTTAATATATTGTCAGTGGAAAAAAAAGAGCTTTAAATCATCTTCAGTGGTTTGTTCAACTTGAAAATGGTCGGCAAGTGTGAATTGTCCAGTTTCTGCTCAGTGCATCAAGATACACTCTGCAACACACGGAACCTTGAGAACTGCCTGATGCTGAAATCAGATGATTAAAGTGGAGTGCATTCTGCTCCCCATCACTGAAATGACTCTCTTTGAAGTACAAAACTGACAGTACATTTTAGACGGATAACTGTTTCTATACTGATTCATGGAGTGAGATCGATGCACTCGATATAAGGGGTGGATTTCATGCATACCTTGCAGAACATTGTCGAGGAATGTATCCAGACTATCCTCTGCATCTGCATCGATAACTGATTTGGACAGACTAGTTGATAGTGCTTGGAGAGCAGCAAGACCTTCAGTTTCAATCTTTTCACTTGCTGTCTGAAAGACCTAAAAAAAATTAAGGAGTACATGCAATGCTCAAAATGGGTCTCACCAACTCCCATTCTGCTATAAATGAAAGAGCACATGACCTATTAACAAGTATCTGGCTTTTTAACATCTGTTGTCTCACAGCAATGTTGGATATCACTCAGTGTTTAGAGCCCACTACTTACAGAGTGGAAGTGCTCCTTTCAAGCATCTGAGAGGGAAAACAGGCTCAGGCCATTCTCAAATCAGTTCTCAGCAGGCACTCAAAAACTGTACAATTCATTATCAGCTGGATAGTTTCAAAATAACACAGAATGTGCGACAGAGAAACAGGCCATTCAGCACAACAGGCTCATTGCAGTGGTCATGCTCCACAAGAGCCTCCCCCTACACCCCTTTGTCTAACTTCACCACACACAACGATCTGCTCCTTTTTCAGTCATATTTATTTAGATTCTCTTAAATGCATGAATGCTATTTACCTCAATTATTTCTCATTGCCTGAACTTACATATTCTCATCATTGTCTAGATATCTACTCCCAAATCCCTAACTGGATTTACTCAGGACTATCTTATATTTATAACCAGTAGTTTTGGTCTCCCTCTCAAGATGAAACATGTTTCCTACATTGATGCACTCCCTTGCCGTTGTACTGAATGGTTGGCATTTTGAATCTCACATTTAATCTATAGTTGGTTTGAATCCTTATCCTCTGAAAAGCATTATTATGGCCATCTGGGTCTAGAAGGTAGATAGTATGCAATCTATTTATTCTTGTGCTTACCTCTCTGCGTATGGAGTGCCAAAGCGCTGGTAGGAATTCTTTCAACTCCTTCTTCCTATAATCTCTGCAGCATGCTGTCTATGAGGGACAAGAAAGCAGGGGAAGTCTTTTATTATTCTCAGGGTTTCACAGGCAAAACACACATATATTGCCAAACGTCATGAAGAAGTTGGTGATAAGTTGCCTTCCTTGAACTTCTGCAGTCCATGTTGTCCCACAGTGCTGTTTGTTCCAGGATTCTGACCCAGCTGTGAAGAACAGCTGATAGATACTCAAACCTACCACAGCCACCACCTTCTCTATGATGCTGACAAGCATGCTGCAAAGATTTTCTCCTTTTATTTCATATCTATATCCTTTCTTTTGCAACATTTTCCTTTTTTAAAAATCAGTACTTCACTTTAGAAAGATAGCACCACTAGTTTTAGTGGGCTACTTGCAACGTATTGATTTAAAGGCAGCACTTAATAGACATAGGTGCCATTTGGGACCCATTTCTCTTTCTCTTCCCTCAAGGAAACAGTAAATGTTGTGAAATAGGAAGCAAGGTTATGTTGGCAGCTACAGGAAAAAGAAAAGAGTTTAGTCAAACCGCACGCCTGCAAGTTTTGACAGAATGATTGGTCTTGGCTATCCATTCACCATTGCCCATACAAGTTTAAAAGTAGCTGCAATAATCTGGATTTTCCCGCTCAGAGGAGTGGAATTAAAGGAGTAAGCCAGGTTTGTTAAAGGACATCAGAGCCCAAACCCAGAGTACTTGATCACCAACACAAAAGATCGAACAGGAACACATCAGTAACAGAAACACTTCACCTACCAGAGTCCGAAGGGAGTCCACTTTGGCACTCTGAACATCCGAATCCAGCTTCTCAATCAGGAGCGGTAATAAGAACTAAGTACACAAGGAATGATTTTGTGAAATTAAGAAAATTCCTAGCAAAGATGCAAAGCTAAATTAAGACAAGGCACCTTGACCTGGCTGCCATAAACCCTCCTCTTCCCTATTATCTAACAACTGCTAACACTCAATATCAAAAGGTCACAAAGAAAAAGGGCCTGTTTCCGTCAGATTTCTACAGCTGTCATCAACAGGATGAGACACAGGCCAGGTGGGAAACATAAAAAGAACAAAATATTACAGGGCCACAGGAAATTTCTGGCTGAAACTGTGCATAGTAGCACTACTAATGAACAGATTGAAGTTTGTTCATACTTCCTTAAGGCTTTGATTAACCTGTACAAACAAGTTGTAAGATGCATCAAAATGTCATTAAGGAATTTGACAGGAATAAGCATGCATGTTTTATTACAGACATAAGTGATAGTGATCACAAGTAAGTTCTCAAAGTGGAGGGAAGACTTGTACATGAGGAAGGTCTATCCCTGCATTATATTGTGTATGCGTTTTTGCCACATCAGCCCGACGTATGTAACCCCAAGGACTAGGCACATGAAGAGGCAATTTCAACCTATGATGCCTGTGTATTGCTGTTCACCAGAGTTATCTGTACCAATCTACTGCCACACATGCATCTGCCAACTCCCTATCTCCTTTCTGCCCACTGCATATTTGAGTCCTTGCTTACTAAGAAACCATCATCATACTGGCAAAAATTTGTTGGGCCAAATAACCTATTTCTCTACTGTAAATGCTACTTATTATGAAATGAGAATGGATACTGTAGGAATCAAGAGATATTTGGGGCTAATTTCAGCAATCCTCCCTTCTGGGGGCTTCATCTCCGCGAAGGTGTACAGCACGATAGGGTAACCTCCAACAGTTCGAAGTTACCATGTTTCAGGGACAAATATGAACAGCAAGGTATATTGACTAAAGTATCAGTGTCAGGTCTGACTCTGCCCTCAGCAAAGAGTTCTCACAGACCAACTTCGAACAAGAGACACCAAAAGCAGAGAAATTAAAGTGAGATTTAATTTGGGTATTCGAACTTCTGAGGGGTGAAGAAGGCTACAATAATTTTTAAAAAGAATCAGAACGGGATGGGGAGAAATTCATTTACTTAACAAAGCTATGATTATATGTTGCCTGAAAGGGCAGTGGAAGAAGGTACAAGAGAAACTTGGAAAAGGGATTTGGATAAATACTTGAAGAAGCAAAAAAAAAATTCTGAGGCTATGATGAGAAAGTAGGGTGAGAAGAAGTAATTGGTTCTCTCTTTCCAAGAGCCAGCACAGGCACATTGTGTCAAAAGGCCTCCCATCTGTCTTATACAATTCTAAAAAGTCACAGAAAAGTGAGGACTGATAGTTTGTTCACTGGTTGTACTGGTACTGGTGCCTTTCACCACATCCCAGTACAAATGATGAAGCAATGTCCAAGAGATTAGTTGACTGATAATACCTCTGCAAACCGTGGTGTGGCAGTAAGTACAGATCGCAGACTCAACACTAACTCCTCCTGAGATATCCCATGTGGGTCATTTGGAGGCTGCAAATAAAAGCAGAATGAAGTCAGATTCTAATAATAACATGCACTCAACACAATCCATTCATTCAAACGAGAAGGATTTCTGTAAACTGATTCCTTGCCCTCCAGTTACTTTATCGCATGAGAATTCCGATGTTCTATTTTAAAGGGATCATTAGCACTTCAGCACAGCATTCATTGCCATTCATCTCTTTTCCTCCACCACTGCAATTCCTTCCTTCCATTTTGTATAACATGCCTGGTTCCTCCAACACTTACTTTCTCTAAACATAAAAACTGACTTGAAACTTGTCCGTTTTCTGCAACCTCACAACATTCAAATGTGACTCATCACAAAATCTCCTTCAGTTCATCCCTTCCCAGGGTCTGAAGGCTCAAACTCCTCACTTCATTAACAGAGATAACAAGGTGTAGAGCTGGATGAACACAGCAGGCCAAGCAGCATCCGAGGAGCAGGAAAGCTGACGTTTCGGGTAGGGACCCTTCTTCAGAAGAGTTCCGACCCGAAATGTCAGCTTTCCTGCTCCTCTGATGCTGCTTGGCCT